GCACTTCGATGTGGTGTAATGGTTGGCAAGCTTGTCAATTACGACTGACCAGTGAATCCGATCCTCATTAGATCTTCCATATTTTAGAAAATATTTTGTATTTGTAATTAATGCCTTAATAAATACACACAAACAATAAATATACATCACAGTAGATTGATATTTAATATAATCACTTTTATCAACATTCAGTTTGTTATTCCAACCTAGTAATTATTGAATCTCCATTCTTCAAATGCAAAATCCTGCTGTTCTATGCATTATACAAAAAATCTTTATTTGAGAACTTTCTGTTTGTTCTAATATTTTAAAACACTAAATATTCTTAACTGGATCCATATCTAATGACTGGCTGGGTCAAAGAGCTATTTTCTGTCAGGTTTTTGTAGAAGTAGTATTGTTATGCTGAAAGATAACATTTTCATCAGAACTGTAGCTGGGAAATTGGAAGCAATCCCTGTATATTGTTTGGCTAATACCTTTCACGTTTAATTAGCTAAAAATGACAAAACAGAAAACAAAAACAAAAAAAAAATCTCTCCATACCAAAACGGATGTCCCACCATGTTTGGTAGTCGATAAAAATTAATCAAGATTATATTTTATCACGGGATCTTTTAAAGAGCGATTCCAATTAAAACATAAATATCATTTGGATACTTTCACCTTTGTCTTTTCAAAAATGAACAAAATTATATCAGTCATTGTCATTGTTAGGATTCAAGAGAGTATATTTAGAATAAGTTCATGTTCTTTGCTAGCCACATCACTACTAGACACAAAACTGCTTCTTATAGTTTTAAATTCCTTCGATTACGGAGCAAAACATTGTTTCTTTTTATCTGTTTTGTTTTTATTGTTTTCTGGTTAATCTGGCATTTTTTGTACCCACTCCCCGACCTAAAACATTATTTTCTTTCTTCTCTTTGAAATCTTTGGTGAATTCTGAACAGAGAAAAATTATATTCAGAAAACCTTGTTTCGTAGAAGAATTAAGAGAATTGTATATTATTTGCCAGTTCGGTGGAAGCCATCAAAGCGATCTTTATGCGCTCACTATAAAAGGTTAGTATTTCTTTGCAGACACTGTATTCTTGAAAATAATGCCCTTAATTGTCGTTATAAACTACGAATAACCAAATAAGCTCACTTGTAGTGAACAACTGATTAATTATAATATTTAGTTAAATGATTCGTTTGGCTCATCTGTGTCTATGAAAGTATATGTTTAGACTGGAATATAAAATCTCAATATTTAAGCAGACATTATAACCGCTAAATTTCACACGCAATAATACAGTGTTTGTTTAGCATGCAATGAATTATAAAAAAAAGCACCAGTTTGAAACTTATTACTTCTGATTGACAGAAATTTGGCTATGGAGCAAACTGCTCGAACATCTTTTACGAAAGGATTGTTTGAATTTATTTTGAAGTCTCGTCTAACTGTTTGCCTTGTGTTTTGCAAATTTGTTTGTTTGTGTATTTAACAAGATATTTCATTAATATTCTGTCAGAAGAAATTAGCTTAATTAGTCTTGAGTGTGAAGATGATTGGGCGAAACCATCTTGTGTAAAATGCTGTGTAAAAAAGCACGTCGATGCATCGACCAATCATGAATCCATTATTCGTCTTCTATTTTCATTTAAGCGCACAGACATGATATCATAACTAATTCTTCAAAACTAACACATTTCAAACGCCGTAATAACACGTGCACACTTACATTAACAGAAATTAATACAATCTCACATAATTAAAGTCTATTAATATTTAGATATAATAGTATAGATTCATTATAACTTATAACGAAGAAATATATAAGAAGGGACATCACTAGGCAAATAAATATGATTAATATATTCTTTAATAATCAAACGTTATTTTAGTGGATACACTCTTTGAGGAGACATTCCAATTTTATTTTCAAAGCAGTAAACGTAATGTGCCAGGTTGAGAGAGAGAGAGAGAGAGAGAGAGAGAGAGAGAGAGAGAGAGAGAGAGAGAGAGAGAGAGAGAGAGAGAGAATCTTAGTATCACTACAGGTCCCAACACATTTCTTTATCCTGAGGGAAAACTTTTTAACCACGATAGCATTAACGTTTCTATTACGGATGTCGCTACAGTAAAGCAAAGCCCAATTAACTTTTTGTAAGAAATATATAACTCTGGTTTTCACTTTCTAATGCCTATATCTTCTAACTATATTTGGATAACCCAGTCATAAACAATTTAGGAAATTAATGAATTTAAATCCGATATTATTTTTTTTTTATTTTCAATCTCATTTTAACGGATATATTTGTTTGAGAAGACATTTCAGATTATAAAAAAACAAATTGTGCAATTAATATTCACCAGTCTAGACATAGAAAGTTTTACTAAAGAAAATGTACCTTTCGGAAAGGAACGAACATGCATAGCCTTCTCCAGGAAACTACTTTGCAGGCAAGCTTGCTTTACCGTCCGGGCAAAGAAGTCTCTACAAGAAAGCAAGACTCAGTTACATTTTTGTAAGAAATGTGCATCTCTTGGTAGGACATTACGATGTGGGTGTTATATCTGTCAGTCTTTCTCACTCTGTCACTCTCTGTCTGTCTGTCTATTTGTCTCTGTCTGTCTGTCTGTCTGTCTGTCTCTCTCTCTCTCTATATATATATATATATATATATTCTTACGTCCTCCAACCCTCTCGATAGCGGAGGTAGAGGAAGATCGTATCCTGTGTTATTTTTTTAACATTTACTCATTTTTTGTAAAATATATTTCTTTCCCAAGGGTCTGTTTCCGATTGATCAGACACGGCCGGGCGGAATCGATTAAGGATCAAACACGATAGGCGACAAACAACAATGGAGACAAGGAATATAAATTTATTAACAAACGTAAGACATGGGAAAAAAACGAAAAAACGGGTAAAACAAAAATGACATGTGTCAAGAATAAACATTGTGGATAAAATAGTGGAAGGGGAAAATCTTCTAAGAAAGGTAATACATACATCAACGTATGGCCTCGTGCCATACTTGCACGAATTTACAAAACATTAAAATTTTAAGACAAGTAGAAAGAAACACGTAATAAAAAGGATGTGACACTATTTAGCTATGGTAAGTGGCTAATTAAGCATGGAAATTAAAAACAAGAAATACTTAAGGTGAGAAAGAGCTATAACGAAAGACATACCGAGCGACATTATTTTTTTTAACAAAAGAAAAATGGGTAAAGATTTTATTTTCATTTACGAAGAAAGATATTTTTTCGCAGAAGACAGAAAATTCGCAAGAGAAGCAGATTTCGGATTCTATAAGAATTAATTAATGTTAGGACGCGACAAGGGAAAAGATAAACAAAACTGGGCCAAGCATGCGACCGAGAAGAAATTTCAGTGAGACCACCCTGAAAGAATAGTCACTAATAATCTTTCAGAGATATCATTTGGTTTTGGTTCTTGTGTCCAGCGAAGAGACCCATCTGTTGTATGTCCGGATCTTGACATGATAAGATAGGGTCGAGAAGAAGGAATCATTGTTACTGCCTGTTCAAACTGTTAACAACAGACTTTCTGTCACCGAGAACGGGTATCTGGAAATGCGATAATATTGAGACGAGAAAGACAAATGGATTTAGTCTCCAAATGGAACGACCACCCAGTTAAAAAATTAACTGGCGGTGGTTAATGAGTCGGCGAAAATTTCGCTAATGAATTCCAGGTGACCCCAGATAAGATAAAAATTTAATGACGACAATATGCAGTCCATAAGAATTATGGCCGGTAGAAAGGAAAGAAAAGAAAGGGAAGATAATTTTTTTCTTTGGGCGATAATTGTAAACTGATGCCAGTCTAGCCACCACCACACTGCCAAGAGATCATTGGCTAAAGTGTTAGCATGGGTGATAGGCGGAGGTGAATGAATGAGAAAGAAAGGAAACTTTTTGACGCCCACTGAAGGGATTGGTATGAGATACCAATATGAGAAAGGAAGAATTTAGTAGGATAATTCTCCTCCGGCCTCTCCTCACAGAACGGAGAGAACCCCTCTAAAACAGAAAGTAATTGACTTCCAAAAATGGGAAGTGATAAATTTTCCTGTCCGAAGACAAAGAGAATCCTTAATAGGGATTTGTAATTATCGAAGAACCCAAACCACGACAGGGCTCAACCCGGTTTTGGCCGATGTCCATATAAACAAACGTTCCCGGGCGTTCAGTCAGAGAGAGTTCGAAACAGTTCCAGAGAGAGCTCAGTTGGAGACCAGCCTCGCAGGAGCTGATCGCAAGATTTCCACGCATTCCGACTTAGACTTCTAACTATAGCAATTTTTTTTTAATGAAGAACGACTTAGACTTACACCACCAAAGCAAGTTTTAATGAATATCGCCTGAATATACCAAAAAGCAGTTTATTGAAAAACAACTTAAGATATCAAGACTCGCTTAAGAAACGCAAAAGTGTCACGAATCCATAGAAGCGGGTTGGGAGAAAGACGCACTCCTGTATTCAGCAGACAGATATAAAGATACTTGTAATTTTTTTCAACACATTTGAACCTCTTGAGTCTATTTCTTTTACATACACTTGTGCGGTATCAACTTTACACCGGATTCAGCTTGCACTACGGCCCGACGCCTGATTGATTTCGTCTACCTAAGATCAAATCACAACGTGGGTAGGTTAGACTAGAGATCAAAGCAGTTACTTCGGTAACCAGACGTTGGAGGCGAGCTGAGAACGACAAAGCTGATATCAAATCTAACCAGACATCGACCGCGACCAAGACAACCAGAGGGGTTAGTGTCACACATGGTTCCGTGGTAAACCAGGTTTCCCCCCGAACCAGCCAAGGGTTAGATCGTCACAAATGGTGCTGCAACCAGCCCAGGGTTAGAGTGTCATAAGCATCTCATGCTAAACTTGCATGAAAGAAGTACATTTAAACAAAAATGAAGCACAAGAAAAACAATGAACTTATGTCGTAATAAAAGTTCTTTTCTACTAATGTCTCTTATATCTAGTCCTTTTTTTTCTCTTTCTTTTTCTTTATGTCCTGTCTAGGGGCTTGGGTGACGATTAAATTGAAACTGCTTTCTTTCTTTCTTTCCTTTGTCTCGGTGTAGCAGCATTCTCGTTTGAGATGGTCTTTTCCCTTTCGTCCTTTGTTTAGGGGCTTGGGTGACGATTAAGTTGGAACTGCTTTCTCTCTCTCTCACCCTCTCTCTCTCTGTCTCTCTCTCCTTCGTCTTGGTGTGGCAGCATTCTCCTTTGAGATCTTTTCTTCCTTTCTTTCCTTGTCCCATAAGTTTTTCTTTTTGAGATCTTTTCTTGCTTTCTTCTTTTCTTTTTCTATAAGCGTCTGGTCTCGGGACTTGGATGACGGATAAATCAAAGCTGTCTTTTATCTCTCTTTCGTCCCGATGTAGCGGCATTCCGCGTACGTCGTAGTTTATTTCCCAGAATCCAAACATTTCTTTCGCGTTCCTCGCGCTTGCGTTCGGTCGTCTGTTCGAGGTTCGAAGATGGACTTTTTTTTTGCATAACCAACCAAAACTTTTGCGTTTATAGCAAACGCGCCCATCTATTCCATTCGAAGATGAATTCTCTTTCTTGTACCCAACCAAATCTTTCGCTGACTCGCCCTTCCAGTCTTAAAACTTACATTTCATCCAAATAAATGTTCACTGATACATAATCTTTGGCATTTATAGCAGATTTCGTCCGTGCAGCCCTGAGGCTTGGACAAGACTTTCACTTTTATCGCAGCCGCGTCCGTCCAGGCCGTGATCTGAACAAGACTCTAGCATTTTTAGCAAACACGTAAGTCCAGCCCTAAGGCCTAGACGAAACTAACTTTTTCGTTTCACTATTCGTTTCACTATTCGTTTCCCTTTTTTTCTTGTCACGTGGTCAATTTTCAAATACGAACTTTTCGCCATTGTGGGTGAAATGGAGTCATTGACCCTCTCTCTCATCTTCAGGGTGAAAGAAAGTTTAGTTTAAAGTATTTCAACTTTTCCTATCTGGAATCTATCCATGTAAATCATGCTGTCAACACGTTGACCAAAAGAGAAAGAAAGTGTACATTCTGGTTAATCTTTGTCGCCACTAAATCTACCTTACCTCTTTGGGTTTCCTATCTTTACGTTTCCTGCAAGTACTGGGCTCTTTATTTTAGAATGCTTCTAAAATATAAGCAATGGTATAGTTTTTATAATAAATTTAGTTGGGGTTCGTAACAATATATATATATATATATATATATATATATATATATATATATATATATATATATATATATATATACCCATAGAAAAAAAAGCAATTAAGCAATCAATGACATTATTTTCTTATTACTATTTTGTTTGAAAATAAAAAGTCTACTCAAACACCGGCTCCCAAAACATGTCTTAGTAGATGTTCATTCATGTTTCGCGTTTCTTGAGCAAAATAGACCAGCCGGAGCCCATCCTTATCCTGATAAGACCACAGTCGATATCCTCCAACTTACTTAGGTACGCCTTAATCACGGATACGTGGCCCTTGATTCAAATGTGGGGGATCTCCGCCTTGGTCGTTAACTTCACTCTCAGAGGCCCCTCCGCCCACCGATAACATGTCCTCACCACTCTGGATGTATTGCTGTAATTCAGTCCCAAATGTAAATTTTGCCAGCAGCCGGCTGAAACTAGTATTATAGTATTAATTGTTGGTTTATAAAAAAAATAGGTATTTCTACTCATTACTACCCACTGACCCCAAAATGGAACGGTGAATATTGGAGGGTTAAGAAAGTTTGAATGAAGCTGATTCACAAAAAATGATTTTAATTTACTATTTTCTTTATGTATCAGTGAACATTTATTTGGATGAAGTGTAAATATTAAAAACTTTGCGACCGAGCACGATCAACCATGTTTATGGCCGTTATCAACATCACTGATAATTATTGATGCCGTTTGTATCGACTATCTTTGTTAAAATTCTGGAAATGTCCCTAAAATCATAATACACTTTTTAGTTCTCAATAATATTTTGTTTCTTAGTCAAATATCACAAATGAATTACAATGTTACTTAAAGGAAATCAGTCTCCCAACCGATTTCTTTTCATATATTCATTTTACGACATTTTTCGTTTTATTTTTTTATTTTTAAGTCGTTTCCAGTTTGTCGTTACGAGCAGACTTTGGCTGTACTTTTTGTACACACACACACACACATATATAATGAGACGCCACTTGAAATATATAAACAAAGGGGGAATATGACAAGGAAGACTCGTGTTAGATTTACAGATTCAAAAACGCTGATTTCTATTGATTAGACTTAAAGTCAAATTCATCAGAATTTATATTAGCTTATATTCTCGGATAGGGTTAGGTAGGGTCACTTGTATCATTCAAAAATAAACATGATGGTCGAATACATCAACGTATCTTCATTTACGCATGCGTGCTTCAGTACACGCGAACTTTTTTTCCAGAAGGGTTCTTAACTAACATTTGAGTCGTTCATTAATGTATTACATAATTTGGAACATATATATATATATATATATATATATATATATATATATATATATATATATATATTTTTCTTCACAAAAAAAATATATATATATATATATATATATATATATATATATATATCAAGACATACACACTAACACGTACACACACACGTCTATCTATCTATCTATCTATCTATCTATCTATCTATCTATCTTTTTGAAAAGTTCTTGAGACGAAATTATTAACATTAATAAAATGATTAAATAGGGAACAGCTTGGTCGGATAAAAATTTCACCACAATCTCGTGTATGCACACACACACACACACACACACACACACACACACATATTTATATTTACATACAGGCTGTGAAGTACATATATACATATAAACTATAAGCATACACAAATGTATATTTACCATCCTCAAAACGCATTTACACACACACACACATACACACACACACACACACACACATATATATATATATATATGATGAGAAAGATATATATGAAAACCAAGTAATTATCGCTGTATATATATATATATATATATAGAGAGAGAGAGAGAGAGAGAGAGAGGGAGAGAGAGAGAGTATCTGTTTATGTATTATTGAATGCCTTTACACTGAAGCTATGAAAACTTATACAATCATCAACACACACCTGCGTGTACACGCCTACACGTGCATACACAGGCACACAAGATTAGATGTTCAAAAGTTCTCAGCCTGACCTTTTCCTAATATCTGACCAAATCGTCAAATATCAAAAGTTGGTGGGGTTTAGAACTTTTCAACACGTCGTCATACGTGTCTGCATTTCTGTATATTTGTTTGTATGTTGCGTGTGTGCTTGTGTGTGTATGTGTCCGTGTGTGTGTGCGTGCTTGTGAATAATATATATTTTTTTTTAGAAATTTAAATTGATATGCATGAATAAATATAAACGAATGTTAAATTGTAGTTCCATGAGATACAAATGATATATTTAGAAAATTGAAATATACAAAAATCAAAGTTTGATATAAAACATTTTATAACAATAAAGTGAGACACATACACACACATACGCACACACATACACACACACATATATATATTTATATATGTTATCTTTTTTGTGTTTCAAAAATTCTTTTATATGTCCGTCCCACTGTGCCTGCAAACTTGCTCGTTAGTAACGCAGTCCTGTAGACAAACAAACGAGGAAATATTTGCGATAACATTCAATAAAAACATCAAAGGATTCTTGACGGGTCGTTCAAACGAGGGAAATTGACTTGTAGACATTAGGATGTTTACATCGAAACAACAAAACAGGTTTCTTAAATGAACGAAGTTAGCGCATGTGCAAGATCGCTTTAATTGCTTGCCGCCGGAGATTGTTCAGTTGTGTGGAAGAAGCTTTGCAACACATTCCATGATGAAGTATTCTACCTGAATGGTGTTTTCTTTTTATTTTACGTTGCAACCAATCAGAATAAATATAAACCAATCAGAATAAATATAAACCTGCCCTTACAAAGTTGACTAGACTGAATTCTGATTGGCAAATGGATACCATAATACTGAGAAACAAATGAATTGAAACAATAATTTGTTTTAAATACACATTATATATACTATACATATTATACAGAATGCGATGGGTAAATTGTCGCCATTTCATACTTTAAATTTCGCGCTTGCGTGTGTCTCATCTATGGGAAAAAGAGCACAATGACGCAATTCACCACTGCCCGGTGAACAGTGCAGACGATTCGGAAAGAGTTGGATGAGTCGAATGATGAGTACGGCAGCTCGAAAACTCACTCTGATCATTCTGAAAAGAAAAAAAAAAACGAATTTGCTGATGAGGGCCTCAACACAGAGACCCACATCAAGTGACTTGAGGAGGTAATGCTGCCCTGGTTCAAAATAGTGGCTGCTCGAAGACTCTGTCTGACAACAGGAATCTGCACCATGCCACGCAAGCAGGAGAACCCAGTCATGGCTGTCAGACAATTTCTGCGACCACATCACATCTTACATCTAGCCACCTAACTCACCAGACTTTCAACCCCTTTGATTATTATGTGTAGCACGCACTTGGGCGAGAGACCAACAAAATTCCTTGTAACACCAAATATGAACTGAAAGAAAGGATTATGGCAGCGGCATTAACCAACTTATGAAAAATAACCCGTCTTGTCGAACTCCAAAAATGAACGGATTCTAAGTTTAACTGAAAAAATGTAAATATTGATTTTTTTTAAAATAATATAAGGATTTAATTTAATTTGCAATTATTATTTATTTTTTCATTTATTATATATATTATGATTATTATATTTATTTGAAGTTATATGTGTATTGCTTATTATTATTTCTTTCAACTTTTTTCTGTATTAGTTTTTGTACAACTAACCTGACGATCGTTTGTCTTATTTTTACTTTCTGTTTTTGCTTACCTAAAATTATATTTATCAACTTTGCATTTTCTACCCTGGTTCATTTTTTATCAATTGATAGTTTAGGTATTAATACCCTCAAAAAGGCAGTATAAATAATTTTAGTGTATGTTAAATAATGACTCAGGATCACCAAGTATTTTAGGCTTAAATCTCGATATAAATTTTCATTTTTTGTTTCTGTTATCTTTTTCTAAAATTAACATATTTTTCGATATTTGTGTTTATGTACAATTTCGTAATCTGTCTTGCTTTCTAGCGCTTTTGATTAACTAACATTTTATATATTAAAAAAAACCGTTAAATTTATTGAAGCTTCTAAAACACGTAATATATGTAAATATTTATATACATTGCGGTAATAAAATAAGCACATCCCATCTCCCCTCTCGCTTGTAACCATCCATCACAAAGAAATAAATGTTTTTTCCGAACTAAAGCTGAATGAGTGAAATAAAACTTCATAAGCTTCTAATTAGAGTTATTACTATATTAACATTTATTTGACTCCTTTTCTTTCGCAATGATGGAACGTATACTCTGCCCAGACAAACTTGTAGTGGACCATTATGTTGACTATTGGCTTTCCTTCGCAAAATCACGTCGGTGGTCACCATTATGTAGAGGACCTGGGGGGGGGAGATGTAAAGAAAAACACTGCTAGAAGGTTCAGCTACAATATGAAAATGTTGGACTCGGATTAAGTCCAACTGAAGATAAGAAAGACAAACAAACAAGACCGATATATATTAAAACAAATATGTGTATTAATAACAAATTACAAAGCACATAGGTAGTTAACATTTTGTTTGTGTGTGAACATGTGTGTGTGTGTGTGTGTGAACGTTCGTATTTTGGTAAATGTTCGTAAGAGTTTGTATTGTGGTGAATGTTCGTACGTACGTGCATGTTGGTAATGTTCTTTAACGTCTGACCGAAAGGTCAAGACGATAATTCTCTGGGACTACATTTTGCAGCAAGAATAGAGAAGAAAGAGAAGAAGAGGCAAACTCGTGTTTACTTTTTATAGATAATGTAATCACGTAACAGGCTCACAGCGCCTTGGCCGGGAAACCTGACTTAGTCACGTGCTGGAAAAATGTTGTGCGTGGGTGGATTGCAACGCTCACTTCTGTGTTTATTGACCAATTAGAAGCTGATATTTCCTGAAAAATATTTACTAAGCTAAGAAGGCTCTTGGGATCCGATTCTCCAAAAAGTACACAAAATCGTCTACATGAAAATATAGCGATTATAAAATTGTCGCATAGCTGCGATTTATAAATTGTCTATTACAAATCAGTGTTGATTTATTATCCAATGAATGCTTGTTGTTGTATAATTTGAATTTGCGTAAGTATGTATGTATGTGTGTGATGATGATGATCATTACAAACTAACTACAGATCCGAATTCTCTGAACGCTGAAAGAGAGTACCATCATCGGCTAAAAACCTTTGAAAACTTCTTGGAGTAATGTTGCAAAGGAACACCTAACAAGTTATTTTACTTAACAAAGTATGTATAGAGTAGCGTCTACGAGAATTTCTCAGATGCACCCACGTATGAGGAAGCCTAAGGAATTCTGAAAAAATTGTATATCAGAAAGAAAAAGGAAATGGTTACTCATCATCTAATCGCTACGAGAGGCCTTCAGAAACAATCGACGCATTTGTCCGGGAACTAAACATACTTAGAAAACTGATTGCACCTTCGCAGCTGTTACAGCTGAACAATACCATACAGAGCTAGTAAAGAATGCATTCATTAATGGATTGTCAGTAAACATTCAAAAGCGTCTACTAAAAAATGAAAACCTTACCCATCAGCAAACATACGACCAAGCAAGAAGTTTAGATCTAGCTCAATGTAATACAGAATCTTTCAAGACTGCAATGACCGAAGGATAGCCTCCCACTTCTAACCCCTCTCAACTCCGGGATTTTCTTGATTCACCAGAAGCCGTGGCCTTGACGAAGTGCACTTGTTTTTTTTTTTTTTTTTTTTCTGCGGAGGCAGAATGTACACTTGCTTGTCACGCCCGAAAGAATATAAAATGTTTTTCATGTGGAAAAATGGGTGACTACTCTAATGTCTGTAAAAACAACAAAAAAGCGTCTTCCTACTCTGCGCATTTCCGTCGGCTTCATTTAGTTTCTCCTCGAAAACCGGTGGGAAGAGTAGCAATGGCTAATGCATCACTATCGTCCCAAGTACCTGGATACTGTCTAGTATCACTAGACAGTATCTGATGCCTCGTACAACTTTTAAATGAAATTCGTAATAATGAAGAACCTTTGCTGTAGTGCCATATTGGGACACGAGTTCCTTCGACAACGCTCTCATGTCAAGATAACATTTGGTGGACCCAAACCGTCATTAAAATTATATGGATTAACGACGGCTAGCATGTCTTTAACAGACATTCATCGCAAATGTAACGCCTGACTGCAAACCAATAGACGCCATACAAATGTAAGAGTATACAAATGAAGACAAACATTTCAATAATACCAAAATCAGAAGAATGCGTAGAGAATGGATAACAGAACCAAACCACTATCCATGGAAAGCGTAAATCCAGAAAACTACAAAAAGAGAATGGTCATCGACAATTCGCAGACCATTAATATATCCATTATCGCGTATCGACGATATGATTGGAAAGATTGCTAAATATGGCGTATATTGTATATAGTACACTCGATCTTTGAAATGCTTACCACCAGGTCGCAATCAAACCAAGTGACAAAGCCTATACTGCATTTGAGTTGGGAG